ATATGGCGTTATTAGAGAGGAGAACAATTACGAAAGCTTAACTTTGATGAACAAGAGAATCAAAGAAGAAGAAGATATGAAATTATCTACGGCAAAACAAATAATAGAATGTAAATAAATGTTGATTTTGTCCTATATTTTTTCCAAATTGTTTTTAGAAAAAAATTAATTTAATTTTGAATTTTTTAATAGTTTAGTAAAATTTTAAAAGACTAGAAGCATATTGGGATTTTAGTTATATGAAATCATATATGACCAATATTAAAGTATATATGACCAATCATAAATATAGAATGCATAGATGGACAATATTTTAATTATTTGTTCTTTATTTTTAATTTTCCCATAATATTGATAACCAAATAATTCTGTAATTATCGCTTATTCTTCGGTATGGGATCTTATTACCACGTGATTCCTTAATAATTTCGATATAATGATTTGTCAATTTTCCATAGTTCTTAGAAATAACGCAATCTCTCCGTGACTCTCAACGAATACAAATTTGAATATGAAACTTAAATCACTCTTAACTCGAAAATTTTAGTTCAAATATGGAGACAAAAAAAAGAATGGGAACTTGTGAGCTCTCTCTCTAGTCTCTAGTTACACTTACACTAAAACCAAAGTAAAACAATAAAAACTGGTACAAAACCGCGTTTTGGCAAACAAAAGGCGGTCAGTGCTGAAGTAACAGTTGTAACAGCGTGAGAGCCAACGGTGCCAATAAGGGAATATGGTAGCTAGAGATGATAAGTGCGTTTGCATTTCCTCCCAATGGACTTACGGGTCCTAACGCATTCGGAGGAAAGTTCCCTCCCGTTGAGTTTGCGTTTAAGCTGAGATACATGGAAAAAGATTTCAAAGAGTTAAGAACAGACTTCATTTTCAAAAGATTTACAAGACATAAATTTCGGATTGTTACCTTCCCGTATATGCACATGTTCTATAGCCTGCAAAACACATAAGCCATTGGATTTGAGATTTACGCTATGGAAACAACGTGAAAACATAAAGTTATTGAAATAGATTGATTAGAGAATATGAGAAAAAAAAAAAAAAAACTTACTAGGATCTCTAGTCGTAGTGATGGCCGTACCATCAAAGTCACAAGTTCCACCTGCACTTTTCATCTTCTGGTAATAGTCATTGAAAGCAAAAGAAGCATGGCTCTTTACATCGTTCGGGAGATAGCAAGGTTGGCCAGGTTGAATCGCAGCGCAGTTAGCTCGGCCTTGACCACACGCCCAATTCAAACCGTCAATCAACTTATCATCGTCAGCATCTGCTTTAGCCACGCAGAACATCGATGAATCGTTTAGAGCTGCAGAGTTAGAGCCACCACTCAAGCTCAGAGGATAAACCGAGGTCCCATTTGGAAACAAAATTCCCCAGTTTCTTTCAGAGACTGGTCCGGATCGTTTGTCTTCATTGTACAGCTCGTAGATGTAAGTGTTTATCGGTATGTCTGGTTGGCTAGGAGGACCTGAGTTGTTCAACACTCTCTTGATCAAGTTGGTGTTGAATGTCTCTGCGTTAGCGACTGTTGCAGCCGCTTCATCGCCTCCACCAGACGAAGGCCAGCCTGTTTCCGTGACGACAACAGGAATCTTGGAGAAATTCAAAGCTTCCATGGAGTAGTAAGCAGCATCAACCATAGCATCAAACATGCTGTTATAATGTAAAAGCGTGTTGGGATCAACAATCTGCTTCACCGGAGAAAGCTGCTTGAACAACGCGTAATCTAGCGGGAAAATCCCATTAGCGGTTGTGTAACCGTAGTAAGGATACGCGTTTAACATAAAAAAAGAACCGGTGTTCTTCAGAAACTGGAGGAGCTGGTAAACCGTGGTATTCCACGATGGGCTAAAGGTCGATGTAGATGGAGGAAACGGTTTAGGCATTATATCCATAGACATAGGGCTGGAAACTTTGACCTTAAAGTTGAGATTAGAAGCCACAAGAGCCTTGTGAATGTTGTTAAGAGCCGAGGCGAGAATCGGCGCCACGTGAGGAATCGTGGTGAGAACTTCACTACCAACAGCAATGGCGGTTATATTAGTTGAAGGAATATAAGCAGCAACGTTCTTGTTAACCCAAGCGGCTGCAGCTGAAGGAAACCGTCCGATTCTGAGGATTTCGTTATTGGTTACACCAACCATAACTTCGATGCTAGTGTTGGCAAATGCTTTGAGCATGTGGCTATTAGCATCATATAGACGAACGTGTGTGATTTGTTGCGATTTGAGAAGCGTTACGATGTCTGAAGGTGATGGCATGTTGGTGAGATCAGTTCCAATGTTCACACCGATATATGCAGCTGTGTAAAGAATCACATTTACAGATTCAGAGTCTCTGAACTTAACCAAATGATATTAAAAAAAAAAAAGAGTAAACTTAGAGATAGATATAAAATGTGAAATTTACCGTTTGAAAACGCAAGAAATGAAAGTAGGAGCAAGAACGCTTCTGCAAACCATCTCGGAAGCAGCATTGGAACAGAGAGCTTGAAAACCTAAAACCTACACAAAAATTGAGTCATATGCTAATGATTGTAACAGAAATTTAGAACCTAACATGACATGGATTGTAGATTTCTCACTCTAAATTCACAAGGCACTGTTTTTTTTTTCCTTTTCAGGATAATTGGTCAAATATGGCAAGAACCCTAAAATCAAGTAAGCAACTTTTTTTTGTTGTTGTTGTTGGTAAATTCAAGTAAGCAACTCATGGATATATAAGAAAAGATTTCCGACAGAAGTAAGCTAAGCAACGCTCTGAGAATAGAACTGGGATAAACAGTAAACAAACCCATCGAGCATTCGAAAAGACACAATTTTTTAATCTAAACTCTTTTGTCGTTTCGTTCTTTCAGACATGTGCTCTGAAAACAGGATTTGCAGAGAAAAGAAGAATGTGGAAGATACAATCAAAAGCTAGTTCAGACTCAAGCTAAGACAAACAATGCGAGAAAATGAAACACCTAGATGCAAAATCAAGAAATGATGAGTGAAGTACCTAATTCGAGCTTTCCCGTTCCAGATTCAGTCGGCGAGATTTCAGATCACGGAGAAGAAATTCAAGGAGGAAAAAGAAGCCTCGAGGTTTTGCTGCTGAGACAGAACACAGGTTCAGAGATGTTACTAGTGTGTGTAGTGAACCCACAAAGAGGTCACAAAAAGTAAAGACTTTTTTTCTTTTCTTTCGGCGAAAATTATTTACGAAATTGAAAGGAAATGGAAAAATAAATAAAAAGAAAAGAAGAAATTAAGAGATTGATGAGCTAAATAAACTTGGTTTCATCTGTCGTTTATAATGCGTGGGAAACCAGAAAGGTGTGTGTGTATTGGAAGGTGAGGCTTCAAAGTTCAAAGATAAATTAATTACTACTCCCTCCATTCCTTTTGATGTTTTGGTTTTTTATCTTGTTCTACAAAGATTGATGTTTTGTAGAAACTTTATTATTACTTTCATTTGAGACCAATAGAAGGAAGAGAGAAGTAGAATTAACATTACTAAAATAATAAAAAATATAAATTTTACGTTTTCTTAAATTGTGTGAAAACCCAAAACATCATTCTTTCAGGAACAGAGGGAGTATTAATTAGCTCAAATTATCATTACCCCCATTCCAAACCCAAAATAAAGATGTTTTAATTAAAACATGAAAATGAAAACACCATTTAACTAAATATATTTTGACCACTAGTAAAAGACATTGCATTCTACAAAGTATCAAATACAACTAAATTTTGCATAGTTTTTTAAGAAAAATAAATAAAACAATTCTAAAAATATCATAGATAGGGAGGTCAGCAACATCATCTCTGCTCGTAGACATAGGAAGCGTTGGAGTAATCTAATGCGCATTTGGATTCGATAACCACTTTCTAACCCAAAATCTATTGTAATCTTGTTTTTATCTTTTTTGCCAAGATTATTTTACCTTAGGTATTGTTGTAATATCTTCACATTTCATTTTATATGATATTAACATAGCAAAAAAAAAAAATACCTCTAAACCATCATACAAAATGGAAAGAAGAGTAGTACATCTTTCTTCTTAACAACTACAATACGGCAATATTCCACCTTCTTAATAAAAATATTAAATTAAAGAAAACAAGATTGTAATAAGAGGCTCGATTTTCCACGCTCTTCTCATTTTCTTTCGTTTTTTACCATTTTATTTAAATATGATCTTGAATCGAAAGAAAGATTCGTGAGTTTGCTAATTTCGTGTGCATGACTTCCAAATGTTTTCTTGTTGAGGAACTTCGAAATGTTTCTTGCATGCTCAAATTGTTCTTGATTCGGCAGTTTCTTTCATCACCAGTTCAAAAATGATTCATATTATTGGCACATTATTCTGAAAATGATAATTTGTTCGTATATATTGTTTCTTCACTAAAATAATCAAACAATTGTTTCCAAATTTCTCCAAAAAAAGAAGAAAGAATTGATGATTATCGACATTATCGCCGTGCATTTAGATCCAAGCTATGCTCTACGGGAAAAATGAAAATTCAAAAAAAAAAATCAGAAACATGCGACGACCAAGACTTTTGTCGGATCAAGAAACTCGGACAAGTCAAACCGAAGCCAAAATTATCTGGCTAGAAAAAGAGAATCGTTAATAACACTCATAAACCATATGACCACTTGTAATTAATAACTCGACTTGTCCCAGGGTTTGGACTTTGGATTGTGGAAGAATAAACCTTTCCAATGTTAAGCAAAAATAATACTTTACGAGAAAAAAGGTAAGAAACCGTTAATCTTGGCATTTTGTTTGAAGAAAGAAACAAAGTTTTTTTTTTTTTTTTTTCCCTTTGATGCTTTATGGAGAGGATAAAGAAAACCGAAGAAAATAGCTGGAAAGTGCCAAAAGGCCGATTCAAAACCAAAGGAGCCTTACGTCAAAAAGCTCCCTCATTTCCTAATAGGACCATCTTTTTTTTTTCAACATAACAGTGTTAGATGAGATCTAAAAGATAAGATGACAAATAACACATGCTACTTCAAAATCCTGTCTCAAGATCATCCATGGATCCAACATAAAGCAAAATACCAATAGCACTACAAAGATCTGTCTTTAAAGCAAAGCTTGTCTAAACAAAGATTTTAAGTAGGAAATATCAATCTAGAGGCAAACAAAATATCTGATAAAGCAGAACTTAAAACAAGACTGAAAAACTGAAGAGTAGAAAGATACATGGTGAGTAATCACTGGCTTGGAGAACGGTCTCCATTTTGTGCTCCACGAGGGACTGGGGTCGGGCTCCTGCTCTGCCTAGGGACAGGGCTTTGGCTCCTGGCTTGTTCAGGCGTGTAGCTCCTGTTTCTTCTTGGGCTCACGCTTCTTCTTGGGCTTCTGCTGTGGCTCTTCACTCTCCCAGGACTTCCACTGCGAATCCTTGAGCCATTATGGGGTGGTGAGCGAGAGTATGACCTCTCCTTCTCGTATCGTCTATCCTGAGGTGAGACAGACCTGCAATAAGACAGTTGGAGAGCAGAGAGTGGTTTAATCCATTAGAAAGCTGTAAGGATATCTGACAGTATGAATTTCACTGGCATGCAGGAGCTAGTTACCTAGATTGATGTCTTTTAGCGGAAGGGGAATCGTAGCCGCGGCTACGTGATCGTGATCTACGACCACGGCGAGGGGGAGGAGAACGAGAGTACCGAGGAGGAGAACGTCTTCTGTCGTTGAATCTGTTGCTCCTACAAACATGAAAAGCATACAAGTTGAGATCAAGTCATCCCTTGGGGTTGTATAGAAAAATTGATCCTGTTCCAGGAAGAATCTCAATTCACCTTCCACCTCGATCCCTTGTTCTCATTTCAGTTGGCTTCTTCCGGTTTTCTTCTGCAAATACGACGGTCAACTCACGACCAAGTAGATGAGAACCATCCATGTGATGTTTAGCCTCAGCAGCATCAGCAGGATCCACATACTGAATGAATCCAAACCCCCTTGGATCTCTGCAACAAATCCAACAAACAAACAAAATCTCAGGCTAGGAACCAAAAACACAATAAGCAAGAAATATGTACAGCTTTGACGAGAAGCCGATTGTAAAGTTGGAATTACAACTCTCCTGCAATAGAAGCCATCATTATAAACATGAAAAAGCAAGCACTTGCCTGCAAACCTTGCAAGTTTCAGTATAAAGATGACTTCTCCAAGACTTGATACATCTTCAAATTGAATTCAAACCCAACTTCCTTCCAACCTTCACTACCATTTAGAACATCTTCCAAAGAACTCTAATTACTTCATTGATCTCTTCAATTCTCTAGATTCACTGTTAAACCTCAACAACTTTAATAAACACACTCAAAGTGTGACTGAACATGGAACATATCACTGTATTCTTTCCCTAAAGTGACTCGAAGAGGACGAAGTTTTAGGTGTACTATACTTACTCACGCTGAAAATTCAAGTGTAGATAAAAAAACGTTTCAAGGCTCCAAATGTGATTTTCAGAAAATTGGATATACAACCGGACATGTTTGACATAGACATTTTAGAAAATTCTTATAAATTCAACCAATTCATGAGCTGCAGATGATGACACGTAGAACTCACAAAAAGTGGTTTACGAAGCAAGAGAAAACTATAATAAAGACACCCAATCTAATTGAAGTGAAGTAAAAATATGCCCCGGATGTTCAAACATTCAATGTCTTATCTACAGAGCATGCTCACCCAGTATAGTAATCCCTTGGAAGGTAGATGTCCTTGACAGGACCAAACTGCTCAAATGGCCTCCTGAGGTCTTCTTGCCTGGAGAAAAGATCAAGGGAAAACAGAGTCAACCTATTGCAAAGAATTGTGACATTCTTGTAATATGGAAACAGAAGTTCATACATGCGCTATCTAGAAATGTACGTTTTACATGCTTCAAAATATATTTTTGGCACAAAAAAAAAACATCCACCAAACCAAACATATATATCAATCTATGATGGTGAGGCATACATCAGCTTTATGAAAACCTTTCAGACAAGTCTAAACAAGTAATGGAATCACGAAACTTACAAGGCCACAAAATCATTGAAAAGATATGGTTCAAATAATCTCAGTATAAGAGAGGAAAGAGCAGTATACACATGAAGTAGTTGAACGAATATACCTGCAATCATGACGTAGGTTGCGAACCAAAAGACTGGTTGGGAGATCCCTGTCACGACTCCCACCATATCGACCCCGGGGGCTAGGGCTCCGGCCCCTCCTTCCATAACCCCTTGGTGGTGATGGCGTGTAGCTCCTTCCCCTCATTGTGTCTAGACTTCAGTCTCTATATCAATCAAGCAACCAACAGAAATTGAGTTAATGAATGTGCTAGATATGATTGGATGCTTAAGAAATAGAACAACAATCACAGCAGCTTACATACAATCATCAAGAAAAAAACTTCAAAAAGTATAAAACCAAATCTGAATTCCACAATTCCAAGCCATATAACAATTACTCAATGTGGATTAACATATAGCTCATAATGAGTTTCAAACCAAGAACTAAGCCATCGGGGAACATCTCAAGTAACAAGAAAGATTGATCCTTACAACGAAATTTTTACCACGATGACAAATTTGAGATCAATTCAATATAAAGAACCCGGAAAATCGATAAAAATTTGAACTTTTATGGTATCAGAAACGAAAGTCTCCGATCTATAACGTTTCCGACCTTAAGATAAGACGACGAAGAAGAAAAGAGAACAGATTCATCAAGAGACTTACCGCAGCTAAGGACGGTGTTGAAAAGGACGACGGACGGCGAAGAAAAGCAGAAGGGAAGCGGCGCGGTCGGAATCGGAGAAGAGAGACAGTGGTGAGAGAGAAAGAGTGAAACCTAGCTTTTGGTTTTTGGATCTTATGGTCTAGAACGAGCGGGTCATTAGGGTTTTGTCTGCAATTCTTTTTTTATTACTATTTCCTTTCTTATGTTTTGCCTCCAAATCCTTTCTTTCTTTTCTTTGTCAACTTTTGCCTTAAAATCTTTCCAAATGTTTAGCTTTACCCTCATACTTACTTATATTACATGTAGACCCCTACAATGTAAAGATTCTGATAGTTTGTTTTATTGACTTCATTGTATTAGAAGTTTGAATCTAGTTTTTAGTTGGATTAATTTAAAAGATCTAAGAATATATGTCTTATTTCAATTGGTTTATTTAGATTGTTTATCTTTTAAATTATGTCTTCCTAATTAATAGTTAAATATCTAATTTTTCAGTTTTGTAATCTTCACATCGAAATTCGAGACTACCTATTTTATTAACTCTCTTGCATTTTTATCTCGTGTGCTTTGAAGACTCACAATCGCAATGTATTTTTATAAATTAGTCTTATTGTAATCGTTTTGTTACTAGTTGGTTTTTTAGAGACATTTCAAAATACTTTTAGCCACACAAAAACTTTTTGTTTGCAAGGAGAAAACTTATTAGAGTTCATACTAACTTTTTCGAACTCAAATATGTGATTTTTCTGAAAATCATGTGATACATTTAACTATTTAAAATACTCAATTAAAAGAAAATGAACTAAGAAATTGTTCTAACTATTTTTATCAAGATATTCATTCATCTTTGATTTTTTTTACAGATGTGAATGCAAATTTGAATTTAAGAAACAAGAGAATTGATAAGAATATTTTTTGGAATCTAAACAAAACGAGAAGAGTAGAAAATATGGGTCTGGGTCTGTTTGCACAAGAGAATCATATGAGTCCAAACATGAGAAATGGAAACTCTAATGGGGTAAAAGCGTAATCATAAAAACATAACGAAGCCCTAATGTTTGTTACCCATTGGGTCCGAAAATTTGTCAAGTACTATAAAAAAGATATTAGTTTTCCAGTCGCTCCCTTTTTTTTTTCCCATTCCATCCTACCGCCGACGTTCGTGATCGCCGGTCAGTCTTCTTCTTCCTCTTCGCCCTCTCAACGTCGTTGCAGAAATCAATCGTGTTTTCAGCTGCGATTGCGCTGTGAATTGGTCATTGTTAGGTTTTAGGAAAGTTATGTGTTGTTTCGGCTATATTTGGCCTAAACAGATCTAGCTATTGGTTCAGACGTATGTGAAATCCTGATAAAGCTCTCTAAATAACGCCTGTGATCTAGCAATTGGATTGGTTTATCAAAATTGACTCATAATCCACTGTGAAAAAATGCAATTAGATCCATGGCTTCTGGACCATTTCCTTTGCTTGTTTTAAGCCTTTTTTCTGATATGTATGACAACAGATATGAGGATTATGCTAGTATTTGTATCATTGTTGGGAAAGGTTTTGTTTCACTCGTGTAACGCAATTCCATTTCACTTGTTACATTTGTATATATGTTTTCACTTGCATTATCTAATAAGCTCGATTTTGTGCTTTGATCTTATTAGCAGTAGCATTTAGTTTTTTGTTTTTTTTTTTCAGTTTCCTTCTCCAGGAAAAGTGTGGTTAAACCCCACACGCAATGGTTATAATGACGATTGTGTAATCCAATTTTGTTCTTTGGCTATGTCATTTTACAGAAATGACTGAAGCAGAGTCCAAGACTGTTGTCCCTGAGTCAGTGTTGAAGAAGAGAAAGAGGGAGGAAGAATGGGCACTTGCCAAGAAACAGGAGCTTGAGGCTGCCAAAAAGCAGAATGCTGAGAAGAGGAAACTCATATTTAACCGGGCAAAGCAATACTCCAAGGAGTACCAGGAGAAAGTATTTTTTCTCCAAACTTAGTTTGCAATTTTTTCTAATGTGAGAAATGCAAATTCATGGAGAGTTTCTGCTACTTGTTTTCTACAGGAAAGGGAATTAATCCAGCTGAAGCGTGAGGCAAAATTGAAAGGAGGCTTTTATGTTGACCCAGAAGCTAAACTGCTTTTCATTATCCGTATCCGTGGGTAATATGAACTACTATCTCCCAAGTATAAGGATGGTGTGTTACTTCTATAACTTTTTTCTCATTTCTATCTTTATTATTCCATCACCAGTATCAATGCCATTGACCCAAAGACAAAGAAGATTTTGCAGCTTTTGCGTCTAAGACAGGTAGCAATCTTATGATGAAAAATTTGTAACATTTTAACCAATGATACAAAAGGATCGTATCTGACACTTGGGTCATTTATTGCAGATTTTCAATGGTGTGTTCTTGAAGGTCAACAAGGCAACCATTAACATGCTTCGCCGTGTTGAACCCTATGTGACCTATGGGTACCCCTCTTCTCCCTTCCATCCAAAACTTTCTTTTTTTCATTTAATCCCGTTAGTCTTACCCATGGACGACTCTTGTTTTCTTCAGATACCCGAACTTAAAAAGTGTGACGGAATTGATTTACAAACGAGGTTTTGGAAAGCTCAACCACCAGAGGATTGCCTTGACAGACAATTCCATTGTAGACCAGGTGAATACCATTAGCCTATTTCCTTCATCATGTCTGGTTCAGTTCATGTTAGGATATGACGGAAAGTCAGTTTTATTGCCTTAAATCCTGTCCTAGAAAATGATGCTTTATCATCAATGTTGGATCCAATTTGGTCTAAAAGATTTGGATTGTCGTTTATTATCATAACTCTATGCCTTCTCTATATTTACAATCCCTGTGTTGTTGAATCAGGGACTAGGGAAGCATGGTATCATCTGCGTTGAAGATCTGATCCATGAGATCATGACGGTTGGGCCACATTTCAAGGAAGCCAACAACTTTTTGTGGCCATTCCAGTTGAAGGCGCCATTGGGAGGGATGAAGAAGAAGAGGAACCATTACGTGGAAGGAGGAGATGCTGGAAACCGCGAGAACTTCATCAACGAGCTCGTTAGGAGAATGAACTGAAGTGTAAGCGTTTTTGCTCTGAAACTCCCTGGGAAACGTTTTGCTATAGGTGGAAAAGTTCTGTTCGCTTGCTTGTGTTGCCATTGAGGCGAAGACTTGAATTTGTATTTTCCATGTTTAAGATTTTAGGTCTCGTTATCAATTTTCTCTTATATATTTGCAAGATATTAGATCCGATTATATCAAAATCTTAATTTATAGTTCTGGAGTAAGTTGCTCTGAAATTCTTAGGAAACGTGTTCTTTGCCTGTTGGTGCAAATTTAGGCGTAGACTTGGTATTTAGATTATCCACGTATGAGACTGTGAACTACATTATTTATTTACATTCACATAACAACAACATGCATATATTAATATATTATTGGCTATTGCATTTTAGTACAACATCATTTACTCAAAAGTAAGATATACAACATCTTTGGTAGAAGAATGAACACAGTCTATAGAGCAGAAACATACATCTTTCCCATTGATGAAAACCAGTTTGTCTTTGCATATACGGTGACATGTATAGCAAATCGGTCGAGAAACACCATTGTTTGAAGCAATCTCTAACTTGAGACCATTCACTTTGATCCTATGACCATGCTTCAAATACGGATAGTTCCCCATTAGGCACTCAATATGTAAAGTGGTATTGCAATCATGGCAGATGTAGAACAACTTGTTTACATTTATTTCTTCTTCGCATACCTCACATCACCAATTTGGTGGCCTCGCAAATCCCATTGTGAAGCCTTTATCACAATATAATGTGAGTGGATGAACGTCGTGCTTGTATTTTACCAATCTTGGCAAAGTCAAGCACTTGAACTCCATAGGGAATTAGCACGTGCTACAATGTGCCACAATGGCTGAACGCTGATTGCAACCCTCACAGTTATATTCGTGATTAACTAGTTTAAGAAAGAGAGGATGTGCAGGGTGGGCTATATGGTTGAATGGCCAGACAAAGGAAGCACACTTTACATCTATTTTGAACCCACAATCTTCTTGGCAACACTTGTACATGAATCCGCAAGATTCTTGGCGACAAGCAGAGCAAATGAAGAATCCATCTTCCGTGTTCTTCATTTCGATCTGTAAGGTTAGCGGATGACGATGTAACGCGTGTTCCAACTTCCGAGGAAGACTTGCACATGCGTCGTGGAGAGCAAAGTCACATCGCTTGCACCTCAATAAATTACCAAAATCAATTGGAAGGATGCAGGCTTGACAGACCTGTCCACTTTCTTCTTCGCAGTTCACATCAAACCTCATAAGGTCATGGTCATGGCTAAAATGTCGTATGGATCCACCATCCATCTCCACCAACGGCGCAAGATCAACTTCAAAATTACTCTCTTCTTCAGCTCCTCCTTCTACATCTCTGCCATCCCACACTTCATCTTCCGTTGCACATCTTGGATGGGCAACGTAACCACATGCCTTGTCAATACAAATATATCCTCCATAACCAATTTTTAGCTTGTGGTACATACTCCAACAAATTCTACATTCCAAGTCTCCATCAGGGATACAAAAAGTGTGTGAAAGATAATGCGAGTGACGTGTGATTTTTATAACCTTTGGTAAGAAAATACATTTTCTATGGACAAAGAAATCGCATTGCAAACATGCGAACATATTTACGTCCCTCTCATAGACCTCCCCACAAGTGAAGGCATTATATCTATGAATGAAGGTGAGTGTATGCTCATGAATCTTCGGGTAAGTTATTGTGAGACAATCCTTGTGGTAATGAGACCTACATGTACGACAGTAAAAAGCGCAAGATTCTAAAGAAACCTTATTTCCACAAAGCTTGCAGACACCATTTCTTCTTGTACATGAAGTTTTTTCCTGAATATGTCTAAGGGGAAAATCATCGCTGTCCCGGTAGCCCATGGGGATGTGTATGTGTTGTCAGGGACTTGTAAGTTTTGTTTATAGATTGTAAACAATACACATATTATGTGTATAAATTTGTATATATGCTTTGTTTTGGAACGAAGTTATCTTTGGCTTGGTTAGTGGTTATATCTAGCAAGGGTAGGTACCGTAGGTAAGCCTTAAAAGTTAGATCCCTTATATATGTAGATATCTCAAAATTTTACAAAAAATGTTCTTTGAACAGTTCTTTATTTTGATTTTTATGCTCAAAATATATAATCAAAGAATTGTAAATTTTCATATAAACTAACAGCGATATAATCTTGTGATTTTGTACAAAAACTAGATGTTAACCCGCGGTACACCGCGGGCCTATATTTTTGTTAAATATAAATTAAAAGTTTAATTTATTAAGATTATCTACAGATATAACCTATTGTTTTGTTTGATTTAAATATATAATATAATTATATATATATATATATATATATATATATATATAGTGTACGCTTAGTATGTTTTAGGTTTCAATTTTAAGATATAGAAACGAAAACATACAGTTCATTAAGCAACTCTATATAGCAGATTTGAATATGAATTTATTTTGTTGTTTGCATTTTAGGGACTGACCTGTGGTACGCCGTGGATCGATTTCTTATAACTAAAATTTTTAAAGTAAGTTGTATTTGTGTTGTTAATATTATTTGTTTGTTTAGTGTTTAAAATTGTATTATTGTATTCTCATATTAATATCTAACAAAACCCGTCCTACCATATAACATGTCCCGTGAAATTAAACATCATTTTATGAGTTTTAATAATATTTTATTTAAAAAACATATAATCCGAGTCAATTTAAAATTTGCTTTAAATATATATTTAATTGTTGTAGAGTTCAAATATTATTAATATTATAAACTTTTTATAGAATTTAAATATTGTAAATTTTTTATAAAATTAAATATCTATAATGTTTAAATTTCTTATAAATTTTTATAAAGTTTAAATATTTATAATATTTGAAACTTCATAAAAGTTCTAATATTATAAATAATTCACGCATTTTATAAAGTTTAATTTTTTTAAAGTTTAAACAATTATCATATTTAACTTTTAATAAAGTTTTTATATTTATAATATCTTGAAACTTCTTCAAAGTTTCAATTTTTAAAAATAAATAACCGGAGTAAACCGGATAACAATTTTATATTGGTGAGATTTAAAATTATTTCTCATACTAAAAGACATATATTAATTTACTGTCCAACATCACAAATAGCATAGCTTAATCTTGTGGGATAAAATAAAATGTTCAATGTTATGTTCTCTAAATCTTTAAATATAAATTCTGAAAACTCTGGTTACTATGTTATGGTGCAAGTAACGTTAAATAGAAAAATAATGATTTGTCTTTCATGTATTGAGTATGCATATTTTGTGGTTTCTATTCAGACAATTATTTTGTCAAACAACCGACAACCATAAAACTTAGTGAGAGAAAAATAAAATATTAAAAAAATCAAATGTAAAATTTTAATAGATTATCTATATATATAATCTATTGTTTTGTACAATTACAATGTTTTGAGTTTCACGTTTTGTACAATTACAATTACAATGTTTTGTACTAATACTACAACTTATTTATAGTACTAAAACTACCCAACCCCATATAAATAAAATTGGGCCTAAATAATTTGTCAAACCAATCCATCACATACAACCCACGAGGCCACGACACAACCTAACCTAGATCTAAAACTATTTCTCTCCGACTACTCTCCCACCATTAGCCGACAAAAGCAACCGTCACCGGTCGTATCCACCACCGTCGCAACCCATATCTCACCGCAACTGTCACACCGTTCCCTTTACTGATCCACCAAGTTGAAGCTCTATTATCCACCGACCACCATTGCACCAACAACTCACCGTCGCCATCACAACCATTCCCTACCTGTACACAACATCACCTGAAGCTCGATGACAAACCGTTGCAACAATCTCTCCCTTCGACATCTATATTCACCAGAGACTCAAAAGTAGCGGCCATATGAAGAGGAAAAAGGTGTGTTTAATGGTTTTTTGTAAATCGTGCTTATTTGTGTTTGATGATGTTAATTGACGTTTAGGTGTAGAGTATTTATAGGGTCAAAATTAGGTCACTAATCCCTATCACTTCACCCAAAAATTATTCGATGTAGCAACAAATTAAAGATAAAATCTTTGGATTCGTTAGTATTTTGGAATATGCCAAGATTTTAATTTTTAAGAGTCAAAATTTTGTTTCTTTAAATCGATTTTGTAGAGATATTGCGGAAAGAAAATCTCCGAAAATGAAGGTGGTGAGTATAATTAGTTGAAAGATGAATCCGAAAATGAATGTGTTGATTAATTAGTTGGAAGACGAAATCTTGGAATATATATTTTAGAAAGAAACCATAGAGATTTTTATGGAGAAGAGTCATAACTTTGTTTCTTAAAATCGTTTATTTACAGATATTGTAGAGAAGAAAAATCGGAAATGGTATGTTGGGAGTCAATAAATGATTAAAGAAATCTCGGGTATTAGAATTTAGAAAGAATCTGGCGAGAATTTTTGGCAATGTTTGTTAAAATGTAAATCTTGGATTTTAATTCTCGAAATTAAATGTCTTATCTCGAAATTATGCAATTGTTTTGGAAGTAATTAGAGGCAATATCTCAGTTTGAAATTAAGACAACTTTCCTATTATTCCTTATTCTAGATCCGAATAGAATTAAACCCGGGTAAAACCCGGATCCAAAAGACTTTTTGCAAAAATCCCCTGTAAAAATGTATATGTAGATGAGAAAAGAAAGTACACTCAGATATTTTGTTTATAGATTATCGAAGTGGATTTTCATGGGTCAATCGTTATGTTCACAACGACAATTTCACATGCATGTTTAAAATTTGATATTCTTTTTCTTTAGGCAAAGCAAGAAAAGGATATCTAAGCTTAAGGCAAAGGGTTCATACTTTATACTGTTATACATGGACTTAATTACGCTAGTCCGCTACGTACTATTTATAGTTTGGGGTCAAATGTTCCCTGGCTAGGTCCGAACAAAGAAAGGGATAATAATGCTTTATAGTGCTTCGATAGAAAGCAAAGTCCATACTGATATTCTATACTTGGACTTTACGCTATTGCAGAAATCTTAAATCAATATAATGCCCTTCAATTGAAACTTTCTTGTATTGATTGGTGAACATTATCTCTGTTATGATGGAAAGCTTTACTAAATGTTATGCCCTGAAACTCCTAGGAAACATTAACGGTGAAAGACTTGAATTTTGATATTTTCTTAAGTTTGAAATTGTTAGAACACATCATTTATTTCCTTCCACATTACATCGACAGACTTGCATTGCATTCAATACAGGACTCATTTGGTAGAATGAATACACTTGATAGAACAGAAATATACATCATCTCTTCCATTGAAAACTTTTTTGTCTTGGCAAATACGGTGACATGTATGACAAATCGGCCGAGAAACACCATTGTTTGAAGCAATCTTGACCACGAAACCACTCACTTTGATCCTATGGCCAGACTTCAAATACGGATATTTCCCTAAGATGCAGTCGATATGTAGAGTGATGCAGCAATCATGGCAGGTGTAGCATAATTTCATTTTGTTTATAGTTTCTTCACAAATCTTACACCACCACTCAAGCGGCTCTACAAACCTCTTGGGGTAATCTTTAACACAGTCTAGAGTGAGTGAGTGTCATACCAGTATCTGACCAGTTTTGGTAAATTCAAGCATTTGAACTCCAAGGGGAACCAGCATGTTTAGTAAAATTGTGCTGCAAGTCTTGAAGATTGTGTGCAACCTGCACACCTGGAGATAAATTTATCAGCGTATATACTGACAGATAAAGAGGATGTTGATGCATACTATGGTCTAATGGTTGGGCAAAAGAAGCACACTTCACATCTATTTCAAACCCACAATCTTCTTGGCAACACTTGTACATGAATCGCAAGAGTGTTGGTTACATACAGAGCAAGTGAAGAACCCATTTTCGTTGTTCATCGTGTCAACATGTATGGTTAGCGGATGAATATGTATCCCATTTTCCATCTTCCGAGGAAGACTCTCACACAACTCGTGGAGAGCAAAGTCGCATTGCTTGAAAGAAACTACCAAATGGAATTGGAAGGACGCAGGCTTGACATACTTGTTCACTTTTTTCTTCTTCTTCGTCCATATCGAGTCTCAATAGGTCATGTTCATGGCTAAAATGACGTTTTGATTTTCCATCTATTTCCACCAATGCAGCAAGATCAACTTCAGGGTCAACTTCTGGTTCAGGTTCTTCTTCAAGATCTTTTCCATCCCACACACCAAAACGAGTTACACAACTTGAATGGACAGCATAATTACATGTCTTCCTAATACAAGAATATCCTTTTTATCTAACATCAACTTGGTCCCGGCAAACTCCACAAATGTTATCGCCAAGAATGACTTACTTTTACACAATTTGCAAATTGCATCTCCAGATTCGCATGGAGATTCTTCAAATATGTGTCTAGGGTGATCAGATGGGAAATACACTATAAAAAGTAATTGACAAAGATGGGATTTCTAACTTAATCTATAGACTATAATCAAATCACCACCTCATATAAATAGATAATATTGTTATTCTCCTTCTATAGGTAAAGAAGATGATATCTTCGGCTTTACTATGCTTGAAGAAAAGCTAAGTCCTTAACAATACTATGTCTGTGAGACTGTGACTGTGAGGTCTTGATTTGGTTAGCACAAAGTAAAGAACAATAATGTTGTTCTATAATCGTATCTGATTACTTTCTTTGTATGTAATAAAACATGTAAAGGTTTAACAAAGATACGAATCTTGAAATTAGGGCTCCAAATTTGTCATAGGCCCATTTTGTGACAAGGTTTTCATTGGGCCAAAATAAAATAAAGTGCTTTATGTTCGGAAGTAAAATAGATATCCCTTGATCAGTTTCATGTTCCTCTGCTTGACCTCTCCCCTGTTCTGAGTCCCTTGAATTTAGTAAAAACTGCTGATACGTATGATGCTCCTCTCGATGCGAAGACCAAACACAAAGGCAGTCTTTGTCTTAGAAGATCTCTGACACAAGAGGCATCATGTTTCTAGTGCGTAACAGATTCATGAATGAAACACCTTTTATGAAACTGAATCGTTGAAGAGATTATTGTGTCAAAGGAGTAGTGTTATATCCAGCTAATATTCTGCCTAGTTAGCCATATCATGCAAACTTTGTCTCCAAAACTTATCACAATGCCCATGTGACTTCAATAGTGGCTCATTTATTAACTAAATAATTCCCAGATCTTATTTTCCGTGGTACCTTGTTGCTGCATTGAGTCTCCCAAACCTGTTCACATTTATGTCATTTAATCTTTTTTATGACTCCAATTCCAAGTACAGCTAGTTGTACTTGTCTCTGTACATTCATGGTAAGGAGGAATTAGAAAAGAGATGTCATTATTTTCAAAACTAGATCTTCCTTTTTATTTCACTATTTTACATCATACACTTAAAAAAATCCATCTTAATTTAATTTGTTGAATTGTAATCATGAAGCTATATATAATTATCTCCAAAGTGAAGAGTAATCTTGATTTTTTTGGTTATAAATCAAGATTTAAAATAGTATGGTAGGTGAGGATGAGATATCAATGCATCTGAATTGCTTGATTTCGTTTAGGTGACAGGTAAGTAGCGGACGATGACAGGTGAGCTATGGTATACCAGAAATGGCTTATGATTTGAAACTTTGTTCGAACTTCTCATGAACCAATGAAAACTCTTATCATAGAGACTCAAACGCATGAATCACATATAATAAACGAAATATGGATTATAAAGATCAGATTGAAAGAGACAGAGGATCAGAATTTTGTCAATGGAAGGTATTCATTGCATTGAATCTATATATGGCTGATCTTTTTGTTTATATCTTGGAGTTGTTGTGCAAGCCAGCTTTGTATCATTATGATATGTGTCTCTTAATTGTTTGTTTACTTAAAATGTTTGTTTCATGCAATTTTTGAAATTTCGATATGGTGAACTTACAAATACAAGCACATGGTCTGGATTTAGTATATTAACCAACCAATTTATTTCTCATGATCATATGATTGCCTTACTTCTCTTTCATATATCCTTATTTTCTTTTAATCAGTCTCGGATTGTTGTAGTCCAAACTCCAAAGGTTTTGCATAATTGTGATGAAATTTTGTAGATACAACTTATATCTTATCAGAAAAAGCTATGGATACTTATTGGCTCCAAATGATGGAGGATGTAATTAGCGGGAACATAACGGAATGATATACAGTTAACCTTGAGAAGGGAAAATGTGATTTCTTTATCAAAATAATGTTAAACATGCGTAAAATAATACTATATTGGTGTTTAATTTGTAAACAAATGTGATATATCGGGGGAAAATAAGTGTCATGAACCCTTGTAATTATATATGCCTAAAAGGCTAAAGCAGACCACAATTTGAATATTAAATCGGTACAACTACTGAACATGTTTTACATAATCTGCATGATTAATATATCGATTAGCTGTAGTACTTATGTATCTGTGTGGTCTTTAAACAAATCAAGTCTCTTAATTAATTTTTGGATGTATATGATTATCTTCTAGATCTGATCACCTTCTGGTTTCTGAATCGAAAGGCATGGATTGTGCATGGTCGTACCTATCCTAACTAAGATGTTTCATTCATTTATAATCACGATTATCCAATAATTACACGATTATGTGTACAAATTGAGTTTTAGTATTACTATAAAATACTAACTACGTGGTTGGTCTGGTGATCATCACCATAACTAACACAAACGTCTTGATGTCTTCGTGGCTTAATTGTTTTCGGCAGCTGAAAAAGAAAAGATGATTTGACTACGTCAAAAGTTAAGATTCCAAAATTTAGCTTTTACTTTGAAATTTCGTTTTTCTGTTCTTTCCAAAATCATCTTTATGGTTGACTTGACCGTAATTTTCTTGAGAAACACTCTAACATTTTGACTTCATATACTAGACTTGTTTTAAGAGTTCTTTTCATAGACTAACTTGCCGTTCAAGTTCAATAAATACTGGGATGAAGCAAGTACTGACCTCATCAAAATGTTAAAAAGTCATGATTTTGACATTTTTAGCCCAAGACAGAGACAGACATTAAAAAGCCCATGATTTTGACAACAATTAATTCTGTCTAGCTTCATCTAGTTTTTTTTTTTTTTTTCGATTCATAATAAAATATCATAACATATTTGTATAATTCCTTAAATCACATATAAATGTATTAGACGGCTAGACCAAGCTTTCAAACAAGAGTTGGAAAAAAAAAACTACACATTAATATGTTTGGCAAAAAAACATTATATCTTAATATGACATATATATTCCAAATTAGACGAACTAGCTATTAATAACTTAAAATACTATTTGACCTAATGAAAGCATCTCATTAATTAAGATATAACCATATGTTTTGGCCCCATGTTGAAATGGACGGCCATGATGGAATTGATGATGGCGATAGATGACATAATTTTATTTTGTTTTTTAAGTGTTATGTAGATGATCACCCCAACACAAGGATTAAGAGGTAGTTTGAAACTTTCATTTAACTCAAGTTTTAGTTTCACTTCATATTTTAATTTCTTTAAGAATATAAAAAAAGATTTGAACCAGTAAAAGTGTAAATATATGATATCGTGTAATTTTGGTTGAGATGTATGAACTGACTCTTTCAAAACTAGTAGACCAACTTGTTCGTAGCGTAGACCTTAAATTTTAACAAGTAAAAATTCTTTTTTGGTCTATAAGAAAAATAACAAGATTGACATTTTCGCCATCGGCAATTACTAGCTACTGAGATATGTTGTATAGTATATATGGACGATATACATAAGTCAACAAGAAAACAATAAGAATAAAATATCCTTAGGAAATGCTAGTGACGTTAGAATAGAAAAAGTCTATTGTTGCAAGTAAAACCGTGTGAAAAAGGTCAACGGAAATTAATATTCACAAACTGATATTTATCGATTAGTTCGTACTTCGTATTGTTTAACCTATGACGTATTTGAAAAAAAAAAAAACTGAAAGGTAGCGATTTCAAAACTAAAGTTAATTAGTCGGGCGAAATCCGTATCCACTATATATGTAATTAACCATAAGATTTTCAGTTATTACGTATGTGCTTACATTTTGTTAAATTTTATGACTTTAGAATAAGATAACTAATGGATTAATCAATGTCTATTTTATATTAATTAGGTATTTGAGTATTTGTAACGTTTGAAATAAAATCCTAACACTATTCTTCCGAAATTATGATCTTTTGATCTAATTTCGAACCAAATTTACTATATATGATCGTAAACATACACTATTTGGGTCAAACTCAGACTCTAATATACATACTAAATTTCATGGATTTCTCAATTCATCATCAATTGACAATTAATATAATGACACATCTCTTCTTACATTATCTTAGATTCGTAATCAGTTTGTATGTCAATATTATTTTCTATAAAGACCATAAATATCCAAATAACAAGCATAAAACATTTATACATGTAAAAACATAATGAAACCATAAATATCTGTGATTAATACTATAAGAGGTAGATGGCTGAGTAATGAAGTATTAAATGATATCCATAGTCCACAACTAATTCCCTTTTTGGGTTTACTCCTTGGACTTTTCTTCTACCGTCCAATAAATGAAGCAAGGGAACATTTTCATCATTACAACAAGTTTTACTTTTTGGACTCACAATATTTGTTATATCCATTCCACACGTTGAGACAGGAGTGCGATTAGAGAGGCTAGTTTTGAACGAGCCAGTCAACAAGAGACTATATAATCCAGCAATGGTCAACAAAACCAAAAGTAACAATAATAGAGTGCGAGGCGGTGCACCGCAAACACAGGTGGTTCGTTTCACTCCTACTTGTCGTCGCGTCGGTGCACTTTTTCTCTTCTTTTTTTTACTGAACCAACCCCGCGTCTTCTTTTGGAACCTAGCGGCTTCGTTCTTTTGGTCTCTCACTTTTATTTTATTTTATTATGTATCAAACGATTTTGTTGGACGATTTTATCCTCACTGACTGGCATAATTTAATTCGTCCTTGTGCTTCCCAGCTGGCTTTTCGCTGTTAAGCTACCACTCTCTCATCCTTTGACTTTATCTCTCGCTAACCTATACGTAAACATTTATTCATCCAAAAAAAGAGTAGATTATCTCTTTAGATTATTAACGGTAATTACCTTTTAGTTTAGGCCGTGTTAATCAAGTAGAGTTCCAAAAGTTGTTACTTGGGCAATAATTTCAATAATAATAGAAAGTTTAGCCAACTTGTACGTATTTTTTTGTATGCAAGTTGAGAATTATTAATTTATTACTACTAATAAATATTTAATCATTGAATTGGGGACCAATGAACTTTACAGAAGCCACTATAATTAGATGAGATCAATCATATTTAAACGGTTCTGAAACTATATTATTGGTCCATCGTAAATTAAAAAGAAATAAAATTGCCTTTAGTTACCAATTAACAGATCTAAAGATTCTTGAAGACATAAAAAGTATCATAAATTTGGGTGCCGTCAAAAAGATACGGTTGTCTCCACGTTAGGTACGGTGTGGTACTTGAAGCGACATCACCCTCGTGGTTCAATGTGAACTCGACACGTGGCGAGCTTACCGATATCTTCTGTACGGTCCTAAGTTTGTTTACGTCAAACTATTATGTCATTTTTCTAATAAGTAGAGTATTATATTGTGTATAATGAATTGACTTTTTAAAATAGTTTCATTATATGCTAACAAAATCTAAGATGCTTGGTTTTAAATTGTTTCGTGAATCATTGTGGTCTAAATAAAGAGAACGAAATCCAAGTTTACGATTTTGTGATTTAGAAACCATGTTTTAGTGAATTGTATTAATTGCTGATTGTTTTTTCAAACGATTTTCATATGGATTACATTTATAAATATAGCTAAACACAAAACTTAGTTTCATACATGTATTCTTGTTTCTTTAGTATTTGGAACTGGTCTTGTCATGTTAATTAAATCTGTAACAAGTTTGTAAATTTCTCTCAAATTCACGCATTGAGATCTGAGCCGACAGACGGTTGTATTCACTTATCTGTATACTTCAAAATACTGATAAATGTTAATGCTCAATGAAGGGAATAAAATCGATGAGATCCAAGCTTAATCTAGCTATTGATTGTATGATTCATGTTATGCGGACACATATATCAAATCTTTTTAGTTCATTATTTTCGAAGGATTCTACAACCTATTTTTAAAAGTTTCTTTTTGATAAAGCCTACTATTAAAAATTTACACAATGATTCAAAGACGAATACTCCCTCTATTCCTAATTGTTTGATGTTTTAGAGTTTTCACACATATTAAGAACTCAATCATTGTTTAATTATTTTAACATTGTTTTTAGTTTTAAATATTTTTAATAATTATTAACTAAGTAGTATAAGAAATTTAATGATTTATAATCATTAGATCTTGAAATTTATAATTTACTATTATAAGTTAATAAATAAAAAAATGCTAGAAATTCAAATTTTGTGGAACAATCAATAAAGGATAGAACATCAATCTATACTATTAATTGGGAATCATTCAAACATAAGTAACCTCATTTTGGTAGAATATTTACAAAAAATGCCATTGCAAAATTTGGATACAAAGAAACAAAAAAATCTCACGTGAAAGGGTAAAAAAAAAATTTCTCATTTAAGAAACATGCGGATCTTGGATCTTCAATTGGATCTTCTAATATTACAAACGAAACAACACGCGGATCTATATTTGCTGAGTTGGATGATCCGATTAACATTCTCTCTCAATATTACTGGGTTGGATGACATTTGAGCTGGGCTTCGTAGTTGTCTAATGGGCTTCGCCGACAATCACAGCCTCACAATTAATCCCAATATTGTTTGAGATACTCGGATATTAATGAGACATAAACAAAATGGTTAGTTAACATTTAAAAAGATTTCAATAACAAACATATTCATTCAATATCCATAACTACACAAATTTAAACAGATTTCCATAACAAACAAATCCTCGACAATCTTTTTAGCTCAATTTATCATAATCACGATTTCCCAATTTATATCTAAACAAATTATTTACCTTAACAAACAATTCAATTACCAAACTCTATCAAAAACTAGATATTGAGATATGTTTAAATCGAGAATATACCCTTAAATTCGAGCATCTACCTTATACGGTTGTTGATTTAATTCTCTAAACCTAAAATTTGCTTACCTCCCTCAACTCATATAAATAGACGCCTAATGTAAAAGTTCAGAAACACACTAACCTTTCATAAAAGCATTCTTCTCTTTTTACTATTTCGTAATCATGGCTCTAAATCACGGTATCACCACCATTGCTGACGTGAGGACTTTCAAGACGAATTGGAAGATCCAAGTGAAAATTGTCCATTCCTGGACACAATACATGCAATTCACTGATGAAACAACAGAAATGATCCTTGCAGAACAGGCTGTAAGTATAGATTATGTGCTTCATTATATCTTAAGATTCTTTACTAATTACAATAATCATAAAATTAATCTATGTTGTTATCTTCTATATAGGGTACTTTGATACATGCTACTATGAAGAAATAACAAGTGAACAAGCTTCAAAGGTTCATCCAAACTGGAGAGTAGAGAATTGTGGAATTAACATCTGACTAACCTTTAACATTTAGATTTTTCAAAAAGTCCTCAACCAACACCAAATATCCTTTCTCCTTCTGAATTCAAGTCCCAGCTGATTCTATGTCTCCAGATAATGAATTTACGGTCATAAGTCTTAAATATTTTCAAACATCTGAATAATTCTAAAGATAATCACCAAAACGTATTAAAATTCAAGAACTTTTACATTTACAGATCTCAAATGCTCCAAACTGACATCAAATCAGACTTCTCTAAAAGAAATAGACTCGCAAAAATGATACTTAGCCTGCAGACATTGAGCTTTGTATCATGAGTGAATTATCTTTGGAAAGTTGCGATGTTTTATAATAATCGTTTAAAAACTTATCTCCTATGTCCTCTACTCTTGAAAACACATAAGAATGTCTGTAACAATCTGCAACTATTATATAAACAAAATTAATTAGATCTATTTCCACGTTTCAAAATATACTGAACATCACAAAATATAGATTCCAAATTGAATAAATTTAATATCTGTAATCAGAAATTTTATAGAGACATAATGATTTTTTAGCTAACGTGTTCAAAGAAAAACGAAATCAGATGTATCAGGTGCTATGTAATTTAGATATAAAAGATCAATCAGTACCTGAAGTTTCCTCTGTAATTCACAATTTCACAATTCTTTCTGCAAAACGATATTGAAACAAAAATAAAAAAACCATCCTCAGAACGGAATCGACAGATTTACAACACTTAAAACAAAATAAAAACGAATCTCTTTTTCGATCTAACAATTACATCTCCAGAAAGTATAAACAAAGAAGAATTATATGGAATCTGTGAGAATTTTGCAAAAGAATCGTCGATACCGACAATAATTTTTTTTATAACATCTGTATATATATATTTTTTATCAGACATCGATTGTTCAATTAAAGATTATCTGTTCAGATAATAAAAACAAATTTCACGTAATGGGTCTAATATGTAGTAGGCCCATCGTTAATATGTATATAAATCTCTTTCGGCCCAACATGGTTTTGTGTGACCCATATCAAAATATTTATGTTTCAGGTAATGGCGATGGCCTATGAAATTAAGTTTTGACTTTAGTATTAAATATCTTATGCTAAGTGTATAATTAAACTATTTATTTTATTGTATAACACCTTTCTATTATGATAAATGTTGCATCTTTTAGTAAATACACTTTTTTGCATAATGTAAAATTAATCAAACTGAAAATAAATGTGTGTAATATTGTTTATTATAAAGATTGATATTTTTACTATTAATTACATAAAACAAAACAATACATTTAAATTACAACTTTATGTAAATCATATCGATTCAAAATAACAACCCGCACGTACGTGCGGGTCCGGAACTAGTACTTTAATTAAAAAGGGAGTATTATCTTAGGCTTTTCTCAATATTACGGATACCGGCGTACGTAGGCAGCTTTAAATAAATTAATTAATATTAAAGTAAATTAAGTACATACGTCTATAATTTTATCCATAGAATATATGTACGTATCTCACTAGCTACATATGTTGATACATATATATGATGTGTAAAGTTACGCGTATATGACCTCTTGTTCAAACTCACTTTTATTCATCGTATCACTTTTTTTAGTACATGTTAATATTTAAAAGGATCATATAACTTTTAATACATCTTTTTGTTTGTTTTTTTTTTTGTTTTAAACATCTTTTTATTAAAGAAGCTTTTCACACAATAAGAACATATACCACGATTTGATTAGTTATGTCAATGTATTTTAGTGTTACTTCTGAGATATTATTTGACATACCTTCGTGACCTTTTCACTTTTAGACTTTTAGTTAATCGATTAACAACTTAACAAGTATATATACACTATGAAGATATATAATGCATATTTCTTAGGAATACTTGTTATCACCAGTGGTGTAACCAATGCAATCGTGTTTTGGTTAATATCGGTTTATTAATAATATTAGAGCGAAGTTTATAAGTAATACAAATATTCAAAATAAGTGATATAAAATGATCATTTTTTTGTAGTGTAATATTAAATACTAAATGACGTACGAAAATTGGTTATTTTGATCTATACATGTTGCTGAATAATGGTGCATTTTGATTATAAGGTGTTGTGTTTATAGTTTGTTAGAGGGACATATGAGGAGACAAGTCGCTATCGACCTAATTTTTAAGAAAAAAGAGTGCATATGCATGTATTATGTGGTACTCATTACCTCTTAATAATTATTTAAATCATATATATATATATATATATATATATATATCTAATTAGATTGATAGATGCTTACAAAAATATCCATGTTTGTTGTGCTTGTTTAGTTTTTGTATATAATTATTCCATATAAATCATAGTAATGGGAGATGCAAATTCGACTGTCATTTCAGTTCTTGTATGTCTTTTTTACTATGTTACATTGACATAATTATCACGTTAGTGTGTCGATTTTGTTACTGTTATTGATACAATTAGTCAGTAACTACAAAACCGTACGTTTGCCACAACGTATACATGTCGATGACGACAAATTTCAAAATAAAATATTTAGAAGGACAGATATAGAATTATAAATTATGCAATATGCAAAGCTTGAATGTTCCATTGCCTCGTTACATTATGATTAAAAAATGTAAATAAAAACACCCTATTATATGCTTATTTAATTCCAAAATTTTTGTTCTCATTAACCAACCAAAACACTTTTGTTTGAATAGAGTAGACTAGTAATATGTGGGTCGCCACGAAAGGAAGAAGGAAATTTCATTAAATCGTAGTATATATATATGATTGAAAGAAATTAATATTGAATTTTATTTCCTCTTAACAGATACTCCCTCTGTTTCAGTTTAGTTGTCGTTTTAGGATTTAAATTTTGTTTCATAATAATTGTCGTTTTAGGTTTTCAATGCAAATGTTTGGTGAAAATTCCAGTTTTATCCCTATTGTTTTGACCAATGAATTTTTTTTATAAAATATATTAATAAAGGGTAAAACAGAAAATTAAATATTTTTCTTAATTTGTGTAAAAAACATTAAACGACAACTAAAACGAAACGGAAGGAGTACATATATGGATAAAATGCATAACTTTCAACGATAGTATTATTCACCTAATTAAAATCCACGTCTGCAAATACGTCACTATATTATACTGGCTTTAAAATTCTACTCCAGAAAATGGATTGAGTCAAACACTATCCTTTATTTAGTGTTAGGTGACCATTTTTCCTTGGAGATTTAAAAAGACTATAACTTTTGTAAGTCACGCGTTCCCGTAAATAATCAAAACGATGACACTCACACAAAAAAATAAAAAATACAATACAATACTCTTTTGATGTAACTTACAATACTTACATCAAAATACAATACTCACATCAAAATATAAAAAATACAATACTTACATTGAAAAATAAAAAATACAATACTTACATCAAAATGAAAACGGATATTTAAGAAAATTACTTACATTAGTCCAAAAAAATATTCTGTAAATTTTATTATATAGAAAAATTATTAGTTATTTTATGATGGATATAGATATTTTTTTAGTAATTAATTAAAATAAGGTGAAGTAAAATTTTGAATAGAACTTTTGACCTCGTATCGTATGTATGAATATTCTGTAGCTACAAACACGTGGTTGGAAATATCGACGCTTCTCTTTCTTCAACACTCTCTCTCTCTCTTGTCGCTCTGGGAGTTGAATGGTATTATATACTATAAAAACTCCATTGCTGAAGAGTTTGTAATAACTTGCGATTTGTGAGCTGAAGAAAAGAAGAACAAAGAAACCTTTCGAATAATCTTGGTTTCAACAACATAAAGAGAATCAAAACAAGATTCAAGAAGAACTCATATAAAAAGTTTCAAGATTCCTCAAACAGCTTTTCTCCTTTGAGGATAACCCAAGCAAACGTGTCGACTGCATATATATTCGAGGTACTCATTCATCTTCACCACCACTCGTTCTTCTCTGTTTCAATAATTTCCAAGTATATTTTTCCTCTTTCTAAAAATTTGCCTTGCTGTTACACCGAAATGGTTTTTATCAATCTTTTGATTTTATTTCATTAGTAGAACTTATCCGGTGATGGGTTTTTTTCTTTAAAAATGTGTATTTTTTGTTGGGTTTAAGAGAAAATGTGTTTCATTAACGAATTAATAACCGGTTTCTGATATAATTCCGGGTTGCTCTGTTTTCCAGATCCGAGAAAAGTTGTGATTTTTATGATTCTTTGACTGAAAAATCTATTGATCAAGTTGTTTGTGTGAATGCGCTTTGTTCTCTGAATAACAGAATCCTGATGTTTTCACGTCTCAGGTTCCGATTTGGAATCTGTTGAATGGGTGTATCATTCTCATGTCCGTTCGCCGAGCAAGACGACGTGGAAGCTGCTCTAGACTCTGTCACGGTGAAGTCCATAAGCTTTGGTGATGACGACGAATGCAAAACTCCCAAGAGATCTGTCAATTTCAATGACGGAACTCTAGAGCCTACGATATTGAAATCTATGGGATCTGGTAAAATGGTTGTTGAGAAATCTGTTAGCTTGAAAGGGTTGCAACTAGAGAGAATGATCTCACTCAACAGGTCTGTCTTCAAAGAAGATTATTCTAAAGACAATAATGGCTTTGAGATTGTTAAAGACTTCTCAGTTCTTGATCCGAGGAATCCCAAACACGAAGCTGCTATTAAATTGCAGAAGGTTTATAAGAGCTTTCGTACTAGACGAAAGCTCGCCGATTGCGCTGTGCTTGTTGAGCAGAGCTGGTTAGTTATTTTAGTTACTCAAAACTCTCAAAAAGTTCCATTTGAAGAAACTTTTTTGTGTTGTGATCTAATGATGTTGTTCTGTTTCTCTATTCTTAGGTGGAAACTTTTAGATTTTGCTGAGCTGAAGAGAAGTTCTATATCTTTCTTTGATATTGAGAAACACGAAACCGCGATTTCAAGGTGGTCTAGAGCGAGGACTAGAGCAGCTAAGGTTGGTAAAGGATTGTCAAAGAATGGAAAAGCTCAGAAGCTTGCTTTACAACACTGGCTTGAAGCGGTAAGTTAGAGACTAGTCTCAGTCTTTTTTTCTTTCTTTTACTGATTTTTTGGATTGAACGTAATCTGAGCTTGGTTTATGTACTTTTGTTTTAACAGATTGACCCGAGACATCGCTATGGACACAACTTGCACTTTTACTACAACAAATGGCTCCATTGTCAGAGTAGAGAACCTTTCTTCTACTGGTAATTCCTTTTCACCGACTCATTATGTCATTCTTGCTAAAAAGTTTTGTCCTAAATCAAGTTAGATATGGGTTTGTATCATGAAATGTTGCAGGCTTGATATCGGCGAGGGGAAAGAGGTAAATCTTGTGGAGAAATGTCCGCGGTTGAAACTTCAACAACAGTGCATCAAGTACCTTGGTCCGGTTAGTATCTATCCCTTTATCTCTGCTCAACAAGTGCAATAAGACATTAGAACTTCTTTCTTATTGTTGTCATGTTTATGTTTTGTGTAGATGGAAAGAAAAGCTTATGAGGTGGTTGTGGAAGACGGCAAATTCTTCTACAAGCATAGCGGAGAGATTCTTCAAACTTCTGAAATGGAAGATAGTGAATCCAAATGGATTTTTGTGCTCAGCACGTCGAAAGTGTTATATGTTGGGAAGAAGAAGAAGGGTACGTTTCAACATTCAAGCTTCTTAGCTGGAGGAGCTACTGTTGCTGCAGGAAGATTAGTTGTTGAGAATGGTGTTCTTAAGGCTGTTTGGCCACATAGTGGACATTATCAACCTACAGAAGAGAATTTCATGGACTTTCTTTCTTTCCTCCGAGAGAACAATGTCGATATCACCGATGTAAAGGTAAGAGAAAGAGATTTGATTGAATTACTCATTCATTGTTAGATCTTGGCTATGTTGGGGATTGTGTTCTTATAAGTGTTTTTGCTGTTTTCAGATGAGTCCTACAGATGAAGATGAATTCTCGATTTACAAAC